AACCAAGAGACTCATGTAATGGTACAAGATCCCAATGATGAATGTAACTGTATTTTATACCTCAAATGTACCAATAAAGTTAATGGGGGAAAAACAACCCATATGATCATCACGATATGAAAAAAAACCAATATCTCATACAGTATTTGGAATATACTTATAAAAATAAATATGCACTGTTTACTTGAAATTGAAATTTAACTGAGGATCCTGTATTTTACTGGACTGCTCAACCAGACTGTTTCTTTGTTTCGTTTTGTTTTGGTACTGGGGATCAAACTCACAATCTTGTGCTTGCAAGGCAGGCACGCTGCCACTGAGCTAAATCCCCAGCCCAACCAGGCTGGGAATACAGATCAGCCTTTTCTGACTTGCCAATTCAAACCTATTCAAGCTAGTGAGCTTGTGGCACAGAGTGAGAAATGCTACAAGACACTGTCTCTAGATTGTGTGCTACTGAGCTTACCTGGAGACACCTGGGAGCCATGGCTTTTGAGTGTTCTAAGCAATAGGAGACTGGGTTCCCACACAGCCCAGCCTGAGGCGTGACATGTTGCCAACACTGGGACAAGTTAGACTTGTATTTGCTGTGGTCTGAATGCTACCCCTCTCAAGTTATTATCTATTAAAATCCTCACCCTTAAGGTGATGGCGTTAGAAGGAGGGAAGCAAGGAGGGCGTGGAGATGGAGCTTTCCTGAGCAGGATCAGTGTTCACAGACAAGTCTCCAGAGACACCCTGCCCCATCCCGTGTGGCTCAGCAAGATGGCTGTGCCTAGGGCAGACACGGCTCCACTTTGGTCTTTGACCTCCAGGTTCCAAAATTGTGAAACAGTTCCTGTTATGTATAAGCTCCCCAAATTCATGGTATTTTTTGATAGCAGCTTGAGGGGACTGAGATAGAGCTGTCATTTGAGTCTGGGTGGCTCCCGGCTATCTGGATTCACAGTGGATTTGAGCACCCTCTGGAAAGAACAACATAGTTGGAAATCAGCAACAGTCCTGTGATTTTCCTAGTTATTTACATCAAGCAGGTAGCTATTAGAAGTCCTCCTAAAGGGGCTTTGTTTTAGTCTTAAATATCGTAACCAGGATGCCTATTGAGTTACACCATTTTGAATGCGCTTGCTACTCTACTAAATTCAGGCCTCTTACAGATACATTGGTTAAAGGTAACCTGATCAAAAGCAAAGCAATTTGCCATCAGGATGACTACAGTATGTGCACTGGTGTGTAGTTTTCCTAACTTAGGCTTTGTTTTTACTTTGATGGATCTAATAACTTTCTACACTTCCACAGTAA